AACACTCACCCTTTCCCAGCGTCTCTGGCTGCAGCGCGGGCCCCGCCGGGCGCCGCGAGAGAGCACGGCGAGGTGAGGGGGCGCGTGAAGCCCCGCGGAGCCGCCCCGCCACGAGGCTCCAGCGACTCCGCAGCCCGCGGAAGCACACGGCTCGGCGGCGCCCGCCCGACCCGTCCCGCTCCGCGCGTCAGCAGCTGGACGCGTCGAGGCGCGCGCGCGGCGGCGGCGGCGGCGGCGGCGGTAGTGGCGGCGGCGCGCGCGCGGCACCAGGGCGGGGCTCGCAATGATGGGGGCGGGGCGGGGCAGGGCGGGACGGATCTCGCAGGGATGGGGCGGGGCGGAGCGCCCATAGATGGGATGGGGGCGGGGCGTGGCAGGGCGGGGCGGAGCTCGCAGGGATTGGGGCGGAGCGGAGCTCTCAGGGATGGGATGGGGGCGGGGCGGGGCCGGGCGGGGCGGGGCGGGGCGGGGCGGGGCTGGCCCAGGCAGCGACCACGGCCTCCGAGGCCACTTCCTGGTCAGGGTGGGCGAGGATTTTCGCAAAGGCACTGTCGTCCATCACTTTCCTGCCCTGGAAGATGGCGAATTCTAGCCCCGAATTTGACAGAATATTCATGCAGCCGTCGTGTATGACCTTCTGTATTAATCACAATAGTCACTGTGATTTTTGTGTGTGCTGCCTTTTTTTTTTGAGACAGAGTCTCGCAGTGTTGCCCGGGCTGGAGTGCAGTGGCGCGATCTCAACTCACTGCAACCTCTACCTCGGGTTCACGCGATTCTCCTGCCTCAGCCTCCCGAGTAACTGGGATTACAGGTGCCTGCCACCACACTGGCTAATTTTTTGTATTTTTAGTAGAGACAGCGTTTCGCTATGTTGGCCAGGCTGGTCTCGAACTCCTGACCTCAGGTGATCCGCCCACCTCACCCCCCATGTGCTGGGATTACAGGCATAAGCCACTGTGTCCAGCCGTACATGGTGTATTTAATGCTTAATAAAAATGTGCTAAAAGATTTACTCCTATAACCCCAATAGCAAGATCAGCAAATTGCACATAGTTTGCACTCAAAAAGTATTTATCGAATATATGGATAGTACGAACTAACTTCAAGGCCCTGCATGACCAAGGAATAGAGGAATGTATAATATGTCACCCCTGGCCTCCTGACCTGAAGTATATTAGAGGTAAAAGCAGATTAGCAATATTTGTTCAGGCCAGGCAAGGTGGGTCATGCTTGTAATCCTAGCACTTCAGGAGGTCAAGGAGGGTGGATTGCCTGAGGTCAGGAGTTTGAGATCAGACTGGGCAACATGGTGAAACCCCATCTCTACTAAAATACAAAAAAAAAATAGCCAGGCATGGTGGCCGGCGCCTGTAATCTCAGCTACTGGGGAGGCTGAGGCACAAGAACCTGGGGAGCGGAGGTTGCAGTGAGCAGAGATCATGTCACTGCATTCCAGCCTGGGCAGCAGAGCAAGATTCTATCTCTAAAAACAAATCCAAACCAATATTTGTTCAACAATGTATTTGCATTTCTATTCTGTGTTTTGGGACTGTGTTCCAACCCCTATGTTAGGCACCGAGGCCTAAGAAGTGAACGAAACAGACTTTCTGCCCTTGTGAAATGTATAGTCTAATTACCATTTGACAGGGAAGTTTAATCTAATCAGAAAAGTCAAGAAAGGCATCCTTGGCCAGGCTCGGTGGCTCACGCCTATAATTAATCCCAGTGCTTTGGGAGGTTGAGGTGGGAGAATCTCTTGAGCCAGAAGTATGAAACTAGTTGTGGTGATAGTGAGACCTGTCTCTAAAAAAAAAAAAATTTAGGTCGAGTGTGGTGGCTCACACCCATAATCCCAACACTTTGGGAGGCTGAGGTGGGTGGATCACCTGAGGTCAGCAGTTTGAGACCAACCTGGCCAACATGGCTAAACCCCATCTCCACTAAAAATACAAAAAGTAGCTGGGTATGGTGGCATATGCCTGTAATCCCAGCTACTTGGGAAGCTGAGGCAGGAGAATCCCTTGAACCTGGGAGACAGAGGTTGCAGTGAGCCGAAATTGTGCCATTGCACTCCAGCATGGACAAAACTCCAACTCAAAAAAAAAAAAAAAAGGCTTCCTTGAACCTTAAGCTAAGACTCAAGAGATAATAGGAACTGGGGAGATAAACATACATTTCATGGAAAAGGGGGTGAGGTGAGAGGTCAGGATGAGTGTGCTTGTATTCCCCACTCGAGGTTTAACACTGAGGCAGGGAGCATAGAAATACCCGGGTAAGTGTGGAGGAAGCTGGAAATTAACTTCCTCTGGTCCAGTTTGGAAGGCTGTCCAGTTCTGTAAGAAGGCTCAGGCAGTGGGGCTCAGAGCAGGCCGTGGCATCGGGAGGAGCTACTCCTGGCTGATTTTTGTATGCGGCACCACGCCTGGCTAATTTTTGTATTTTTAGCAGAGGTGGGGTTTCAACATGTTGGCCAGGCTGGTCCTGAACTCCTGACCTCAGGTGATCTGTCTGCCTCAGCCTCCCAAAGTGCTGGGATTCCAGGCCTGAGCCACCGTGCCCAATGGAAAAGTAACTGTTATTAAAGTTAGTCCAGTGGTTCCAGGAATGCTGAGGCTGACCCAGGAGAAGCAGCCCATGGCTGGGAGTTCTCCTGCTGGAAGCAGCTGCCCAACAGCTTGAGGGGCTCAACTCGGGGAGAAGAGGGCATCAGAGGAACTAGGAGAGCTTAAGAAGGATGGTGGACCCCAAGCTGTGCCTGGCAGTGGGAGTGGGAGGCTGGCTCAGATGGAAAACTGTTGCTAGACTCTGATCCAGGGGTACCCATATCCCAGCCTCCTTCCTGGGAAGACCAGCCTCCCTTCCTAACAGGAATGGGACCCCCGGGATGTTTAAGGTGATGAAATACGCCCACCTGAATGCAGATACTAATTAGACTTGTAAAATGAGAACTCCAGTTCTTAATAGCCCCAATAAAACTGTTGGCCCAGCCAGGCACGGTGGCTCACGCCTGTAATCCCAGCACTTTGGGAGTCCGAGGTGGGCGGATCACGAGGTCAGCAGTTCAAGACCAGCCTGGCCACGATGGAGAAACCCTGTCTCTACTAAAAATACAAAAAATTAGCCGGGAGCAGTGATGTACACTGTAATCCTAGCTAATCGGGGGGCTGAGGCAGGAGAATCACTTGAAGCTGGGAGATGGAGGTTGCAGTGGGCTGAGATCGCACCATTGCACTCCAGCCTAGACAACAGAGCGAGACACTGTCTCAAAAATAAATAAATAGCAGAGAAGCACAAGGCAGGTATAGTTCATTTCCCTCCTCATTCCATTAAGACAGCAGGTGACTTTTATGTTTGTTTGTTTGAAGACGGAGTCTCTGTCGCCAGGCTGGAGTGCAGTGGCGCAATCTCGGCTCACTGCAACCTCTGCTTCCTGGGTTCTAGCGAGTCTCCTGCCTCAGCCTCCAGAGTGGTTGGGACTACAGATACCATCCTGCCACCATGCCCAGCTAATTTTTGTATTTTTAGTAGAGATGGGGTTTCACCATGTTAGCCAGGATGGTCTCGATCTTTTGACCTCATGATCCGCCCACCTCGGCCTCCCTAAGTGCTGGGATTACAGGCGTAACCCACCTCGCCCCCAACCCAGGTAATTTTTTTTAAGAAAAAAATTAAAGTATAATACAAGAGGCTCCTACTTATCTATTGCCCAAGGTTTTTCAAATGAGCCAATGAATACTTTTAATTCTTCCAATTTCTTCCCTGCTTTGCACATTGCATTTTTGTCCTGAGCCAGCTGTATGAAGTTATGTGTTGCTCTTGTTTGTGAGAACTATGTTCATCCTTCAGTATACATTGCATAATCTCCTTACAAGAAGCCTCTAAACATGGCTACATTTCGTAGAACCAGGAGAGCAAGACTGAGAGAGGTAAACGGCTCTACAGCAGAGCGCTGGTTGGAATCAGGTCTGATGAACCTCGGGCATTTTACAGACATAACTACAGAGGAATTAAATAAAATGAAAACACCTTTAACATTAAAAAGCAGTCTAAGAGGGGCTGGGCACAGTGGCTCACACTTGTAATCTCAGCACTTTGGTAGGCCGAAGTGGGCAGATCACTTGAGCCCTGGAGTTTGAGACCAGCCTGGACAACAGAGCGAGATCCCATCTCTACAAAAATAAATAAAAATTGGTCGGGTGTGGTGATCCTCACCTGTAGTCCCATCTACTTGTGCGGCTGAGGTGGGAGGATTGCTTGAGCCTGGCAAGTCGAGGCTGCAGTGAGCTATGATTGCACCACGGCACTCCAGCCTGGGTCACACAGTGAGACCTTGTCTCAAAAATAACAACAAAATAAAACCCCTAATTGCCATTTTATTTTGATGGCACAACTCTAAAACACCATAAAATCTAAGCATATATGTGCTTCTATAATATTTTTATATAATTTCAAAAACAATTTTGCCAATGCAAATTCGGACATTGCCTCTCCAGTTCATAATAACCCCAGGCTGGATGTGGTGTCTCACATCTGTAATCCCAGTGCTTTGGGAGGCAGAAGCATCGCTTAACGCCAGGAGTTGGGGACCAGCCCGGGTAAGATGACCTTGTCTCTACAAAAAATCATTAGCCAGGCATGGTAGCACACACCTGTAATTCCAGCTAGGAGCCCAAGAGCAGTTAGCAGTGATGGTGCCACTGCACTCCAGCCCCTGGATGACACAGCGAGACCCTGTCTCAAAAAAAAAAAAATAATAATAACTTTATGCTTTTTAAAAATGTGAGAACCAAATCAAAAGAACATTAGGTTGCAAATGTTACGGGTTACCTTGTGGTAATTTTAAAAATTTTGGGGCCAGGAGCGGTGGCTCATGCCTGTAATCCCAGCACTTTGGGAGGCTGAGGTGGGCAGATCACAAGGTCAGGAGTTTGAGACCAGCCTGGTCAATATGGTGAAACCCTGTCTCCACTTAAAAAAAAAAATTAGCCGGGCGTGGTGGTGCATGCCTATAATCCCAGCTACTTGGGAGGCTGAGGCAGGAGAACTGCTCGAACCTGGCAGGTGGATGTTGCATGAGGCGAGATCCTGCTACACCACTACACCCCAGCCTGGATGACAGCGAGACTCTGTCTCAAATAAATAAATAAATAAAAAGAAAAGAAAAATTTGAATAGGTAATGCTTTTGTGTATTTCAGACTAAAAAATTGATTTTCTATGTATTTATAATTCCTATATGCATGTATATATATACATACACACACATATATATGCAGATGCAGTAAAGTTTCCTTTTTATCTGTCCTTCGGCCACCATTTCCTCTTACACACTAATGTTTTTATTTATCCTTCCAGTTATTTTATGGACATAACAGTAAATACACATACATATTAACATATACAGTATTTCCCCCATCTCCATTTGGCACAACCCCTTAAATATATTTAAAATAAAACAGAACAACAAATTTTTGGTAAACAAAATTTAATACAACCATATAGTCAAGTAATCATGGTTAAAAGACATTTTATTAGATTACAACAACTTTAAAAAAATTAAACTATGCAAGAAATATATTTAAACAAAACATGTAAGTATTCACGTGCTAAACTTAACTGAGACCAATGAAATACAAAGCATTCTTTCCTCTAAGAAGACTCTGGAGCCTCTAATTGAAAGCAAATGACCTTAGGTCTATGCTAGTTGTAAAGCAGGTTATACTTTTGTTCAACTCTAAAATTGTATTGTCTTAGAACTCCAACAACTCTCAATAAAAATTTAAATAAAGAAATCAAGGGGGAGGGGTGATAGGGAAGGGGAGAATAAGTGCTTTTTCAAGAAAGTTAAATAAAAAAGCCTGGAGAGGGAAAAAATTGTACTTAAGTATGGAACAAAAATAAGTAGATACACTTTTTTGACATTCGATGTAGATACTGCAAATGAATTTACGTGGGTTTAATCAATGTAAGATAGATGTCTGATATCTTAAAAAGCACCTAGGTATCAAAAAATGAAAACAAAAAACATAATGAAATTAATGAAATTCCAAACACCCAATAATCTCCCTTAACATTCTCATTCTGCCAAGCAACCACAAGCTGGTGCTTATCACACAATTTAAGAAGGGGAAGTTTATTGACTCTACAGGAAGCAAATATGAACCTTATCTAAGGTAAGCTTCATTTAGATGGAAACACAAAGTTCAAATAGCATTAAAGAACTTAAGGCACATAAACAAATTCAGGTGCAGTTATTTTGAAACCATTAAAACAGATTCTTTTCTTTGGAACAATATATAAAATAAGTTATGAATGTTGCTGTTTTAAAAAATGTATGATAACCTTCAGCACTAGGAAAAGTTAATATCTAAGGCAATCACACAAATGTAAAACGTTCATATAAAACATTAAAAAATGTCTAAAGTATGTTGAAAGTGTCTCTGGAATTGTTAATTCACACTCCTGGCTCAAATGGTTTCTGGTGCCTAGCATTAGATGTGACAGTAACAATGGCTAGCTAGTCAAACCTGCTGCCCTAAAGGTCAACCAAATTGCTCCATTCTGGTTACTTGGCATGGTGAGTTTATTCATTTAACTAAAAAGAAAAATAATGGGGTGAGGTGATGTAAACCTGGCTTTCAATAAGATGCACAACAAATTCTAAAAAGGCCAAAACTCTGTTGAGGTTAACTGGTGTCTTGAGTTTACTAAAATAAAGGCAGTCCATAGGAAGCCTTGAAGAGACATTATCTTATCACTTGCACCACATAAACAGCAAGCTCTCCTCTCTGAAAATACAGGTCAGGCTCAGTGTCTCACGCCTGTAATCCCAGCACTTTGGAAGGCCAAGGTGGGCGGAACACGAGGTCAGGAGATCGAGACCATCCTGGCTAACATGCTGAAACCCCGTCTCTACTAAAAACACACAAAAAATTAGCCGGTCACACACCTGTAATCCCAGTTACTCAGGAGGCTGAGGCAGGAGAATCGCTTAACCTGGGAGGCAGAGGCTGCAGTGAGCCAAGATCGTGCCACTGCACTCCAGCCGGGGTAACAGAGTAAAACTTTGTCAAAAAAAAAAAAAAAAAAAAAAAAAGAAAATACAGTTTGAAGTAGATGTCATCTTTTTCCACATATAAATTTCAAGACATAAAAGGCACACACAAACAATTCAACTCCTCTCTTTTCATATATGGGTTCTCACAGCAATTTAAAAAATCTATTGCCATATCCAGACAACAGGAAAAAAAGAATACCTGGTTTGCTTATTGACAAAAGTGGTATAATTGAACCTTTGTCTTTCCTGAGTTTCAAAAAGGCTATTTGACAGTAGAGATACATAAACAATTCATATTCACTAAGAGAAAATGTATCACTCCACAAACATTTTCATCTTTTTAAATATAAAAGAATTAATGTTCAACCACCACCATGTGTGAAGCCCCTTTATCAAATTATACTCTAGAATCATGAATTGAAGACTATTTAGTTATGGCACTTTACACCCCAAACAGGCAAAAGTAACAAGTTAATACCCTCCCTGAGTATTTACATCATCTTAACACCTGGTTTAAATGGAGTAAATACCTATATTTCAGTCACCTAGGAATCAAAAGGTTACTGAAGATTCAATACGATAGTAATTCACACCTGTGCAGTAAAGTCGGTGTGAAGGTGAGAGTAGAAAAGGAGGAAGTTCTACTGTTGTAAAAATTAGACCACTTGTGTAGCCAACTCACAAAGAGGAAAAGCACAGAGAAGGTTTAAGTTTCATGAAAAAAAAAAAAAAAAAAAAAAAAAAAAAAAAACCAATTGTACTTTTCTGTTCTACAAAGCATACCTTTTAATTCCCTTTCCAACTGATTTATCACAGCTGGGTTTAGCAAACTCATCTCTTCTGACCTTGTAAAACTATATTGTCGTAAATATTCTGATTACACATAAGTCATCTTTACTAATACTCCTCATGTACTTTCAAATGTAAAAAAGTTCTAGAAATACCCAAATAAAAAAATCTTCCATAATTGAATTTAACATGGTCAACTAATTTTTACTTTATGTGTTTTTCTGATCATCACAGACTGCTAAAATTCTTGGTGTTTGTATATATGTGTGTATACCACCATACAATCTATCTACATATATACACATGTACATATAGATTATAAACCAAAGGTTCATATGATCATCTATCAAAAGAAAAATCTTTATGTGATGACAGAATGAATACAATCTGACACCAATTGATATACCAATTTGACACCCTTTTGATATATGAATTCTACTCAAATTCTTTTTTATCAAGGGTAATGCTATTATTTATCAAGAATTAGTAAAGGAAGATAATTTAAAAATCAAAATCATCAGCTGAATAACTTTAAAAATAGTTATTTAAATTTTTTAAGATTCAACCTAAGTTTTTGGTGGCCTTCAATATAAATTGTAACTACTTAATTTATGTAGTTTTAAATTATGTAGAGAAAAAAATTAATATTGGTGTGAGGTCTGTGTTTAAACAAATTCTGTTTTTCGGGATTTCATTTCAAATTTACTATAATAAACAAATGGCTATTAAAATAAATGTATAACAAAATAAATAGTTAATACTTTTTACAATAGACAAAAATGCTAGAATACAAAGTTACCTCAGAAAGTCTTTTTTTACGTGAAGTCCTGTATTCATGAAATGGGCATGATCTTACAAATACACATGAAAAATAACGACTATCATTTGTAGAATCTCAGCATTTACAAAATACTTTTTCACACATTATCTCATTTACTGTAAAGAATTTCTGAACTAAGTAGATTATATCATCTATGAGTATAATGCAGATCTTTAAAATTAAAACACAAGTATCCAAACTGTACCTACAGTCTCATAGAAAATTGTTTTCTGAATTGCTGTTATCACAAAATGGTATATATCATTTTAAAACTGTAATTTGAAAAATAAAAATTCCCTAAAAATTTGTAATTTTTTTAGAATTTTCTTCAGAATGTAGATTCTAGCTAAGCATTAAAGCTTTAAAAATGTCTATGTGAAATCTCTGTACCATTCTAGGATGAGAAAAAAATGTAGCTTACCAATGTTAGGCTTTTTATTTCAACCTTGGTTTTAACAAAATTCTGGTGACACTCTAATTACATATTTGCATCATCCCTCCTATCACAAGAAATATACAAATTATAATGTGAAAGACAACAGTGTCTGGAAGAGAAACTACAGCAGTCTACCTAGAACATCCATAAATGCTGTAAATTATGTCCGCCCACCCAGAATCACAATAATCACTTATGCTGTAGTTCCTGCCACATCCATCTATTTGCATTAGAAAAAAAATTCACATTCCTCTCTGAAAACTGATAAGCTTTATGAAGTGGAGTTGAGAAACCTAGAAAAAAGCAGTCTGTTGCAAAGAAGCTTGAAAATGTTGATTAATATTTTACACAATGGGTACCAAATGAAAGACTTACCTTAAAGATGGGAACCAAGATGGGAACTACTGCTAAGTTTTTTCAGATAACTAATTTTAAAAGAAAAGTGGACCCACTGAGATAGGTGGTCCCTGCTTGATGCTATTAAAGGTACCTTAACAGTAGAGACTCTCAGGAATTTTAGCTGTTCACTAGAAAGTAGGATAATCAAGGAAGGGGTCCTCACCAAAGCACCAGTCTCATGAGGTCAAACCCTATTGGGCTAGGGAAGAAACCTGTCCCTATTTTTCTTTTCCTTTCTCTTGAGACACAGTCTCACGCTGTTGCCCAGGCTAGAGTACAATGTGTGTTCACAGCTCACTGCAGCCTCAAACTCCTGGGCTCAAGTGATCCTCCTGCCCCAGCCTCCCGAGTAGCTGGGAGTACAGATGTGAGCCACTGGGCCCGGCTGTCCATCCTTGTTTTTCACAAGACGATACTGCAAAAATGGGTTTCAACTGCTTTATCAAGTTAAGAAAAGAAGCTTTCTTAGAGGATTTAAGAGATGATGCATAAAAACTTTGAGAGCCATAGTGGGTTATTTTTCCTTCAATGGCCATTCCATTTTTTCCCTAAGAATTAACTTGTAATTTTAATCCCCCTTGTAGGGTCACTTATTTTTATATCTCCTACCTAACTTCCCCTAAAAACATGTTTAATATAAGACAGACATTCTAAGAATAAAGTCATAATACTTCAGTGTTTTATGATACCTGAATTGTTGTCATTACATTTTTATCAATTACAGAAAAAAATCCTTCAATAAAATTAATCAATCTGGATATACTTTGTTAACAACAAAGGTTTGTAAAACTATTTTTTTTCTCCTAGAATGCATTCTAAGCATTAACTTTTTCAACCTAAATGATGCCTCAAGTCATGCAATTTTCTGTACACATATGACAAAATAAGGAATATACAGAGAGATAAACATATATATTAAGTGAAGACACCATTCACACGTTCCTAAAAGGTATGCAAACAGGCATGATTTCCCAATTCACATAGGCTTCTCACAAATACTTACAAAGGTACACTCTTCAAAGGCCAAGTAACAACCACCATTACCTTTAACAAAAAAGTTTTTTTTTTTCAATTACAAGAAAGGCTTTATTACAGTTTGAAAGATTGATATTTTGAGGTGAAAGGCACCAAATTATTATTTTTACTATTTTTTGCATATGGCACAAAGGAGATATGTCAAGTTCCCACTCTAGAGTTTTTAAAACCTCTCATCTTGGGTCGGCGTGGCTTCTTCAGTGAGGTATCCCAGCTTTAGAGTTTAAAGCATTTCTCATTGTATCTATGAATAGTCACACAGCCATGGTAGGACACTGGCCTGGGCATTGCGGCGACCCCTGTGATGATACTTGTTGCAGGATCATAACAGAGAATAGTGTCTGTGGCTTCTCCATTTTCCCGTCTTCCGCCCAGGATATATATTTTACCATTACACACAGACATACCACAGTTTTCCTGTTTAACCAAATACATTAAAAATAAAATTAACCATTGAAGATAAACGATTTTGTAACAAACAGAAAAGCAAAATAATGCTTTAACACAGCCAAAAAAAGAGAGACATGATATAAGCTAAGCTCCTTTTGCCCAACTCTGTGCTGTGAGTGCTGGATAATTTTGCATGGATAAAATGAATGTCAAGACAGATCATATGTTAGCTGCAGCCATAAGAAATAATGAGATCATGTCCTTTTTAGGGACATGGATGGAGCTGGGGGCCATAGCCAAACAAAATACTGCATGTTCTCATTTATAAGTGGGAGCCAAATGATGAGAACACAGAGACACACAGAGGGGAACAACACATACTAGGGCCTTTCAGAGAGTGGAGGGTGGGAGGACGAAGACGATCAGGAAAATAACTAGCTAATGGGTACCAGGCTTAATACCTGGGTGATGAGACAATCTGTACAACAAACCCCCATGACACAGTGTACCTATGGAACAAACCTGCACTTGTGCCCCTGAACTTAAAATAAAAGTTGGGAAAAAAAAGATTCTATGTTAGTAATTGGAGCCAAGATGTGGGAGGTAGGATGTGGACTGATGAAATGCTTTTAACTTAACGGTAGTTAAGCAAAAGCATTTCAAAGAGCCTGGCTTGCTTCTCCTATTACAGGAAGGTTATTACAGAAAGTGGTGGTTACATGACCAAGGAGTAGGAACAATATTCATTATATAGGATTACCCACAAATTGAATGAATGAATAAGAGAAAGATTTATAACTAAATTAACAAAACACTGTTATTAGGAGCCTTGGCTGGGCCATGGAAATGACTCAAATAACATCTTACAGTTAACTTCCCACACAATGGCATTCTTAGCTAAATTTTACTATTCCCTGTCAATAATACAGTTACTATATATAAAACAAATACTCTTGCAAGAATGAGAGTGATTCTTCAAAAACCTGGTCGGGCGTGGTGGCTCATGCTTATAATCCCAGCACTTTGGGAGGCCAAGGCAGGTCGATCACTTGAGGTCAAGAGTTCAAGACCAGCCTTGTCAACACAGTGAAACACTGTCTCTATTAAAAATACAAAAAAATTGGCTGGATGTGGTGACAGGGTACCTGTAATCCCTGCTACTGGGGAGGCTGAGGCAGGAGAATCGCTTAAACCTGTAGGGCAGAGGTTGCAGTGAGCCGTTATCATGCCACTACACTCTAGTCTGGGTAACAAGAGCAAAACTCTGTATCAAAAAAACCCCAAAAAACCCAAAACCTATACTAACAATTGACTCACTATCACATGGATCTGATTATGCTACAGGTTAGATATTATTCCATTTCCAATTAAAGTTTCACTTTAATTCAGATAGTTATTGCATCTTATAATCTTATAATCTTGGTTCCACATAACCAACAATGAAATAGGTTCTACCAATGAGTTCAATAAGCATTTTTACTTGACCAAATTTGTTGTATATAAATTTTGCTCTTACAGAAGAAATTAAATCTTGGTGGATTTATATAATAGGATACTATCTTTAGGTCGGAAAGAATTTGTGAGTACTTAAAAATGCCTATATTATATAGTTTGTTTTGTTTTTGCTCTGTCGCCCAAGCTGGAGTGCAGTGGCACAATCTTGGCTCACTGCAACCTCTGCCTCCTGGGTTCAAGTGATTCTCCTGCCTCAGCCTCCCGAGTAGCTGGGATTACAGGAGTACATCACCACGCCCAGCTAATGTTTTGTTGTTTTTGTTTTTTTTTTTATACGGAGTCTGGCTCTGTCACCAGGCTGGAGTACAGTGGTGTGATCTCGGCTCACTGCAACCTCTGCCTCCCGGGTTCAAGTGATTATCCTGCCTCTGCTTCCTGAGTAGCTGGGATTACAGGTGTGTACCACCACGCCCAGCTAATTTTTATAGTTTTAGTAGAGACAGGGTTTCACCAGGATGGTCTCAATCTCTTGACCTCATGATCCACTGACCTTGGCCTCCCAAAGTGCTGGGATGACAGGCGTGAGTCCCCACCCCTGGAAATTTTTTGTATTTTTAGTAGAAATGAGGTTTCGCCATGTTAGCCAGGCTGGTCTCAAACTCCTGACCTCAGGTGATCCGCCCACCTTGGCCTTCCAAAGTGCTGGGGTTAGAGGCGTGAGCCACCCTACCTGGCCTATATTAGAGTTTATAGACACCCAGAATGACTTAGCCCATTGTCATATAGTGAATGACACTTTTATTCAGAATACCATACTCCCATGAATTGCACCAATTATGGGACAAACTCTAATATTCTTCATGTAAAAGCACAATGAGCTCTTTCTATAAATTCTAAAAGTTCTGAATATAATAAAAACAAACAAAAACCTTGGTTTTCAGGTATAAGCTAGTTCCCAATATTGAACCTTAGTTATTTTGATGATGATTCTAAAACAATATATAATTACATGATCTGGTAATTAATATTATTTCAGATAAAAATGCTCAGAATTAAATAAAGCAAACAACCTTGAAACCAAGTATTCATATCAGGAAATTACATCTATCAGATATAATAGTTTCTTTCATGCTATGTAAAATACCATTTACTCTATGTGTTTGTTTATACTATATAAAAAACTTAGTCTTCACTCAGGAGTAAGAGCAGCTATAGGAAAAATAATTTATCAATACATAAAGTTTTAATTGTTATTTTCAAAGACTGAAATATCCTAATATTGCAAAAAAAATACCTCTCATTATTTTTATATGCTTAAATGTTAAAATGTCAACAATAGAAAGAATCAGGTTTCTTTTCATTTAATTATTCTAATCTTGAATGACATTGTAAATATCTGGGGTCCATTGTAAAAAAAAAGAGAGAGAGAGAAAAAGTCTTCATCATTGACTTTTTAAAAAAATCTCATAATTTTTTTAAAGGATGTTCCTGACAGAAGTTAAAAAGCAAATTATGTTTAGAATAATAAGTTGTGTTTTTAGGAATTATGAAAAGTAAAAAGAGGCATGGAGATGGTGAAGAACAAACAGAAATAAGTTGGGTCCATTAGGACTGTAAAAAATAAACACCTTGTGCCCGCTTTGGCAGCACATATACTAAAATTGGAATGATACAGAGAAGATTAGCATGTCCCCTGCACAAGGATGAAACGCAAATTCATGAAGTGTCCATATTTTTTATATAATAAAAATAATAAGCCGGGCGCAGTGGCTCACGCCTGTAATCCCAGCACTTTGGGAGGCTGAGGCAGATGGATCACGAGGTCAAGAGATCGAGACCATCCTGGTCAACATGGTGAAACCCCATCTCTACTAAAAATATAAAAAATTAGCTGGGCATGGTGGCGCGTGCCTGTAATCCCAGCTACTTAGGAGGCTGAGGCAGGAGAATTGCCTGAACCCAGGAGGCGGAGGTTGCGGTGAGCCGAGATCGTGCCATTGCACTCCAGCCTGGGTAACAAGAGTGAAACTCCGTCTCAATAAATAAATGAATAAATAAATAAAATAAAATAAAAAAATAATAATAATAAAATAAACACCTTATTTTTTTCAGCTCTTTTTTACATTTAATATTCTAAGCATTTTCAAAAGCAACAGTACTGGGTTTGTTTAACTGTATACAATGAAATTCGTTTGATTTATCCATTTTCATTGGCTAGCATTAAAAGGGTAGACAATCACACCTGGCTCAAACATTACCTATCAATAATATGCGCATACGGTGGGGCGTGGTGGCTCATGCCTATAATCCCAGCATTTTGAGAGGCCAAGGCGGGCAGATCACCTGAGATCAAGAGTTCAAGACCAGCCTGGCCAACATGGCAAAACCCTGTCTCCACTAAAAATACAAAAATTAGCCGGGTGTGGTGCCATGCACCTGTAATCCCAGCTACTTGGGAGACTAAGAAAGGAGAATGGCTTGAACCCGGGAGGTGGAGGCTGCAGTGAGTCAAGGTTGATGCGCGCATAGATATATTTAGTAGTATTTGGAGTAAGAGTGAACACAGGAGAGAAAATAATCCCCTAAATCCCAGTACTAGATTTGAACTTCGACAATTTGTCTTTGTTAGACTTCATATACTTCTGATCCAAATGTTTTATGTTCATTATATTTCTAAAGTTAATGTTGTTTAATTACAGAAAATGTGCCATGTGTGTCCTTTTTTTTTCCCCTCAGTTTTATCTCAATAATCTAGTTAAAAAAAATTCATGTATGCCCTGCAATATGCTAAATGCTGGTAATTATCTTCCTAAACTGTTATTGGTTTATATAATATAGCAAAGTTCCGAATAAATGGTAATTCTTTTTTTCTTTTTTTTGATATAGGGTGTTACTCTGCCACCCAGGCTGGTCCCCTCACTCTTGGCCTCAAGTGATCCTCCTGCCTCAGCTTCTCAGAGTGCTAGGATTACATGCATGAGCTACTGCATCTGGCTTGAACAGTAATTCTTAATAAAAATGCATTATTCTTTGCAATCTTCACTGAAATAAACCAATAAAAAGCAGCTTCAATTAAAAAAAAATTACAAGTAAGTCTCAATACTTGACTACATGAGGATCCTGATGCAAGCAGGGTACACTCGCACCTCTGTAGGGCTGGAGAGCGATTTTCCAGGAGAGGTCCCTGAGCTGGAGAAATGTGATTCACTTTTACTTCAATGTGATATGAGAGGGATAAAAGGTAATGCTCATTTTGTACCACAAAGCTGAAGTGGCTATTATGTCCCTTTCATCAACTGGGGCAACGTTACTCCATATACATTACTAACTGGAGACTATACCCCAATGTCAACAACTTTGGAAAAATGATGTTATATTCAAACCCTATTCACTATCCTTATAGTCTATGCTGTATCTCTAATGTCTCTTGCAAATAAGATTATCTTAAAATCAAGTCCCTCTGGTACTTCCTAATTTGTTTACTTATTCAATACACATATTTACTATGCACAAATAAATGCAAGATACATACAAGATGAGTTAGAACAAATAGTGTCCTCAAGAAGACTAAATTCCAGTAGAGGTAATAAATATTTATACTCACAAGGGAATATACAAGGGCCATAAGAGGTGTGAGTGCTTCAACAGATCAGAAAGCAAGAAAGATTCATTTTGGCCAAGTTAAACTCTGTTGTAACTGAAGGCGTCCTTGAAAGATGAGTAGAATTATAAGTAGAGAAGGTAAAAAAGGCATGACAGGCTAAGAAGACAGCATGAACCAAGGCAAGAACATTATGATCTGTTTAGAGACTACAAATGACACATACTTAACGTATCTGAGGTAAAGTTACAGAATGTGAAATGAAGGTCAGGTAACAGAAGGTCTAGAATGAAGCAGTAAAACTTTTGGATTTTATTTAATAGGTTTCTAATCAAGAAAGACAATAGATAGATATATTGAAAAATAACTGATGGCAAAATGAGCTAGAAAGATATCAGAGAAAGGAAGACTAATTCGAGTATTATTGGTTTTGTTTAGGTAAAAATTGATAAGAACTTGAACAAATATAGAAACAATAGGAATGAAAAAATAGGAGAACTGATAGGCTGGAGAAGAGAATCTAGTAAATTAAGTTTCTCAGTTATTTGGAAATACAGAAAGAGTAGGTTTGGGGAAGAAGGTGAATTCTATTTTAAATGTAAAGTCTTGGCCGGGTGTGGTGGCTCACGCCTGTAATCCCAGCACTTTGGAAGGCCAAGGCAGGCGGATCATGAGGTCAGGAGTTCGAGACCAGCCTGGACAATACGGTGAAACCCTGTCTACTAAAAATACAAAAATAGCTGGGCATGGTGGTGCATGCCGGTAGTCCCAGTTACTCAGGAGGCTGAGGTAGGAAAATCGCTTGAACACAGGAGCAGAGTTGCAATGAGCCAAGACTGTACCACTGCACTCCAGCCTGGGTGACAGGGCAAGACTATCTCCAAAAAAAAAAAAAAAAAATTAAAGTCTTGAAATCCTATGTAAAATATCACATAGCCAGTTAGTAGAAATTTGAGTTTGGACCACAGGAGAGAGGCTCTGATGGTGACAAAGACTTGCAAATCATCAGTGCTGAGGTGTAAATGAGATAATTCAGGAAAGAGTATAAGCAGAGAAGAGGACACAGGAGGCTCAAGGAGCACCCATGTTTAAGAACTGGGTAGAAAAGAGAGTATGAAGGAGAGTGAGGAGATTATTAGCAATGACCTTTGAGAGTACATCTCTAGGGTATGCGTAGAGCCAGATTTTCAGCATCAAAACCATCAAGTATTTTGCGGGTGGAAGGAAAATGAGCCATGAATCAAAAGGTGGAGAAAAGGCCTTTTGGGAGGTGGCAGTGTGGGAGGGAGTAGGGCTCCGGGTACAATTTATGGCTGAAAGAGAGCTGTGCAAAGCCATTTCCTTTAACAGAATTAACAGATTTCCCAGCCTCTAATAAAAATAAGCAATCAATTTGGGAACACTTTTTCTCTCCTGAAATATGAGAGAGGGGATAAAGACTGAAGTAGGATTGTGAAAAAGATCAAGAGAGAAAAAAAAAAAAACAACAGCCCAAGTGCAATAGATACTTCAGCATGGGATGGTAAAAATGAAGTTATTTCAATAAAACGACTCCTTGGAAGGAGTTCAAAACAGGTTGCCATATGCTTTATGTGGAGTTTAAGCAAAATTATAAAATAATTCACGCAAACATGAAATATTTTATTTATTTAGTTACTTTTTTTTTTTTTTGAGACGGAGTTTCACTCATGTTACCCAGGCTGGAGTGCAATGGCGCGATCTCGGCTCACCGCAACCTCCGCCTCCTGGGTTCAGGCAATTCTCCTGCCTCAGCCTCCTGAGTAGCTGGGATTACAGGCATGCACCACCATGCCCAGCTAATTTTTTGTATTTTTAGTAGAGACGGGGTTTCACCATGTTGACCAGGATGGTCTCGATCTCTTGACTTCGTGATCCACCCGCCTCGGCCTCCCAAAGTGCTGGGATTACAGGCTTGAGCCACTGCGCCCGGCCTTTAGTTACTTTTTTAAGACAGAGTCTCGCTCTGTTGCCCAGGCTGGAATGCAGTTGCACAATCTTGGCTCACTGCAACCTTTGCCCCCCAGGTTCAAGTGATTCTTCTACCTCAGCCTCCTGAGCAGCTGGGATTATAGGTTCATGCCACCTCACCTGGCTAATTTTTGTATTTGTAGTAGAAATGGGTTTTCACCATGTTAGCCAGGCTGGTCTGGAACTCTTGATCTCAAGTGATCCACCCGCCTCAGCCCTGCAAAGTGCTGGGATTATAGGCATGAGCCACCACACCCGGCCTGAAATATTTTAAAGTTGAAATTACAGTGTATTAATAATGATTATGCACTTGGCCTCTTAGATGTATTTTTCTTTTATACTGCTTTATGTTATTACCTGACGGCTGAATGTATTCTGGACATGCATCCAGTAATCTTCAACTGGATCATAACAGTATATTGCCTTGGTCAGTCCACCGGCAACATAGATCAGGTTGTTTAGGGATACGGCTGTTATGCACCTCTTGGCAATTGGGATAGCTGCACGAAGTAGCCAAGAATTGGTTTCTGGATCATAAGATTGAACCTAATAACATATAAAAATATACAATTAAAATTTCTAAACAAAAATGGAAATGTACTTAATAAAGAGTCTACCAAATACATACAAACGTTATTTAAAATAAAATCCCATTCATTCAGAGAATTAAGAGAGGTTAGCCTGATAGTGAAATGTCTGAATTATGAACATTCTCAAATAAAATGCAAATGTATTACTATCAAGCAGAACAGAGTACCAAAAACACACAGATTGCTTCTAGAATGAATGGCCACCAGGTCTGTCCACTAAAGTTAACAGTCTCAATTTTTTTACAGTTGTGTTATGTAGGATAAGTATGCCTCAAACCTGAATATAACTTCTTAATGCTTTTAGGGAGCCCTTTCTTCAAAAGAAAACGAACACATCTCAATGCAGTCAGCATGCTCTGAATTATCACAAATTCTGAATTAATACATTCTAAATAAGTAACATTTGATCACATTATTTTAAACTGAATTTAGAAAAAGAATTAATAGATTGACAAAATTCCGTTAACATTGCTAAGCCAGCTAGGCATTAGGGACTTTTGCCAGAATAAACATGATATTTCCTGAGATGTCAGGATAGCACATATTCTTTGGTCCCAGGAGTTTGACGAACCAGAGCAACTTTGACTCATCTTTTATTTACACTACAGAGGTTTCCTTTTCTTTTCTATGTTCTGAAAAATACTTCCAAAGTATATAGAAAATGACCCAGTTAGAAGGAGCATATTTATTTACTGTGTCTTATCCTTTGCTAATTCACTTCCCAACAGTGTTCTCTATAGTTTTTACATTCTGTAGATGATAGCAAAGGCTCAGAAAAATTTATTTAATATAAAATCTCTACAGATGGTCTCATTTCAAAAAGGCTGAATCACATTTGTTAGAGCAAATTGTCAGACATCTAGAGTCTCACTTTAGCAACCCAGAATTCAATGTTTTTCTCCAAAGCATATAGTACCAGAAAAATTTTAAAAGACTCCTCACACAAAGTGACCTGGCTACCTACTTGATGAACCTTCTGTATCTCCCTTCTTATACTTATCATTGGTGTTTCCTTTAAAAGTACATGGCTTACCTTATCAGAACAAGTATTATCATCAGGTCCTCCACCAATCACAAACAGTTTGCCTACACAGCTAGTCACTGCAGGAGAACTCACTGCTTCCTTAAGGGGAGCAACTTCAGTCCATCGATTTGAAAAGGAATCATAACATTCTACGCTGCTAAGTCTGTTTTGCCCATCGTAGCCTCCAACAACATATACCTATATGCAAAATACATGGAAAAATCTTAATTATCAAAAGTCTGAATTTTGAAGTAGCTGGTTAAAGAATTAAGGGATCTCTTTTCTTTAAAACGCTTTTGCTAAATAAATATAATTGCAATATATTTAGCTCAGAGTTTCTGAGCCTTTTAAAAAAATCATCATCCCCCTGCCACCATCACAATCCACCAAGCCTTTTTAATTCCTAATAGTCTTCTGTCAATGAAATTTTAATACCACAGATAAATTGTATATCTATTTACCTTAATGTATGTATACCTATGCTTTATACATGAAAGATTTCATGTTTTTTTCACCTTCTAAGAACCAATCTTTGCCCCCTTGGGGGTAATACTGCTCACACTGAGAATTGTACAATTTAGCTTATATATTCACACTTACGGGTAATAAAATATTTGATTATTATAAAGTATTAAAGCTGTGAAATGGAAATATTAGGTAAGAATTACTAGACTATGAGAGTGTTGAAGGCAGGCCTTTTAGCCCCTACAGTAGCTAGAAAAGTGCCTGACACATAATGAACACTAAAGTTCACAGAGGTTTTTTTTTTTAAAGGAGAGTGAGGAATTAGGAACGATAATACAGCTACTCGAAATCTTTCCTGTTGATGAAATCCTTTCATTCAACAAGTTTTTTTTTTTTTTTGGAAAAAAAGAAAGAAAAAAGAAAGAAAGAAAAAAGAAAGAAAGAAAGAAAAAAAGAATGAAAGAGAGAAAGAAAAAAGAAAAAAAAACAGGGAGAGAGAACAGGAATCTTGCTTTATTGCCCAGGCTAGAATGCAGTCTAAATATGGGTATTAAAAACCTCTTTTATGCCAATAATTGTGCTTAACAAGAGTGACAGAAAGGAATAAGGGAGAAAAATAACAAACAAGCAGCCAACCAATATTTCATTTAAGCCTGTGAAATGCTATGCAATTACTAAGGAGTGATTTACTTTCAATTATGTAGTCACTTTTAGAATAAGTGTGATGTGGTACTGAGAAGAATGTAAGTTTTGTGGATTTGGGGTGGAGAGTTCTATAAATATTAAGTTTACTTGTTCCAGGTCTGAGTTCAAATCCTGGATACCCTTGTTAATTTTCTGTCTTGTTGATCTGTCTGATATTGACAATGTGATGCATTTGGTTGGTAAATCTTCCTCCATCCCTTTGAGTCTTTGTGTATCCTTGCATGTGAGATGGGTCTGAATGCAGCATACCAATGGGTTTTGGCTTTTTATCCAACTTGCCTGTCTGTGTCTTTTGATTGGGACATTTAGTTGATTTAAATTTTGGATTAATATTAATATATGTGAGTTTAATACTGCCATTTAATGCTGGCTGGCTGTTTTGCCCATTAGTTGATGTAGATTTTTCATTATGTTGATGATCTTTACCTTTTCGTATATTTTTGGAATGGCTGATACTGGTTGTTCCTTTCTATGTGTAGTGCTTCTTTCAGAAGCTCTTGTAAAGCAGGCCTGGTAGTGATGAAATCTGAGTACTTGCTTGTTCACAAAAAATTTTATTTTTCCTTCACTTATGAAGCTTAGTTTGGCTGGATATGAAATTCTGGGTTGAAAGTTCTTTTCTTTAAGGATGTTGAATATTGGCCCCCACTCTCTTCTGGCTTGTAGGGTTTCTGCTGAGAGATCTGCTGTGAGTCTGATAGGCTTCCCTTTGTGGGTAACCTGACCTTTCTTTCTGGCTGCCCTTAGCATTTTCTCCTTCATTTCAACCCTGGTGAATCTGACGATTATGCGCCTTGGGGGTGCTCTTCTTGAGGAATATCTTTGTGGTGTTCTCTGTATTTCCTGGACTTGAATATTGTCCTGCCTTGCTAGGTTGGGAAAGTTTTCCTGAATAATATCCTGAAGAATATTTTCCAGCTTGGATTCATTCTCTTTGTCACATTCAGGTACACCTATCAAACGTAGATTAGGTCTTTTCACATAGTCTCATATTTCTTGGAGACTTTGCTCATTCCTTTTTACCCTTTTTTCTCTAATCTTGTCTTCTCATTTTATTTCATTGAGTTGGTCTTCGACCTCTGATACCCTTTCTTCTGCTTGGTCTATTCGACTGTTAAAACTTGTGCATACTTTGCGAAGTTCTCATATTGTGTTTTTCAGCTCCATTAATTCATTTATATTCCTCTCTAAACTGTCTATTCTCGTTAGCATTTTGTCAAACCTTTTTTTCAAGGTTCTTAGTTTCTTTGCATTGGGTTAGAACATGTTCTTTTAGCTCACAGAAGTTTCTTATTATCCACATTCTGAAGCCTGATTCTGACAATTCATCACACTCATTCTCCATCAGGCCTTGTTCCCTTGCTGATGAGGAGCTGCAATCCCCTGAATAAGGAGACGCATTCTGATTTTGGATGTTTTCAGCCTTTTGTGCTGGTTTCTTCCCATCTTTGTGGATTTATCCACCTGTTGTCTTTGTAATTGCTGACTTTCAGATTGGGTCTCGGAGTGGACGTCCAGCTTGTGGGTGATGATGTTATTTCTGTTTTGTTTTCCTTCAGCAGATGCCCCTCCCCCACAGAGCTGGACCTTCCTGGGTTCAGCTGTGCTTGCTGTGAAACTCTCAACCATCAGCGTTTCCAATTGCTGTTTTTTTGTGGGGGTGTTTTTTTTTTTAAGACAGAGTTTCGCTCTTGTTGCCTAGGCTGGAGTGCAGTGGCATGATCACAGCTCAACACACCTTCTGCCTCCTGGGTTCAATAGATTCTCCTGCCTCAGCCTCCCGAGTAGCTGGGATTACAGGCATGCACCACCATGCCCAGCTAATTTTGTATTTTTAGTAGACACAAGGTTTCTCCATGTTGGTCAGGGTGGTGTCGAACTCCTGACCTCAGGTGATCTACCCGCCTCAGACTCCTTAAGTGCTGGGATTATAAGCATGAGCCACTGCGCTCAGCCACACAGAGCTTTTATGTACATTTTCTTTTCACAAAAACAAGAAAGGTAGGCAAATTATTATCTTTATATGACAGGTGAACCAATCAGCAAGACATTTATTAAATGGCGTATTATGCAGAAAATCCATTAAGCATCATGGTTTATATAGGGAACTTGCGACCTAACAAACCTCTCCAGCAGCTTCACTTCCACATCTCTCTCTCTCTCTATTTTTTTAGACTGAGTCTCACTCTTTCACCCAGGCTGGAGCACAGTGGCGCATCTTGGCTCACTACAGCCTCCACCTCCTGAGTTGAGGCAATTCTTCTGCCTCAGCCTTCTGAGCAGCTGGGACTACAGGCGTGTGCCACCATGCCCAGATAATTTTTTTTTTTTTTTTTGTATTTTTAGTAGAGATGGGGTTTCACCATCTTGGCCAGGCTGGTCTTGAACTCCTGACCTCATGATCCACCTGCCTCGGCCTCCCAAAGTGCTGGGATTACAGGTGTGAGCCACTGCGCTCAGCATTCTTCTTTTTTTGGAAACTGGGTACCATTCTGTTGCCCAGGCTGGAGTGCGATGGCATGATAATAGCTCACTGCAGCTTCAACCTCCCAGCCGAGACCTCGCCTCAGCCTCCCAAGTAGTTGAAACAACAGGTGTGCATCACCACACCCTACTACTTTATTTTTATTTTTCATAGAGACAGAGTCTCCCTCTGTTGTCTGTTGCCCAGGCTGGTCTCAACTCTTGGCCTCAAGCCATCCACCTGCCTCATCCTCCCAGTGCTGGGATAACAGGTGTGAGCCATCATGCCCGGCTCACATTTCTCTTAATGGACTGTCATCATCAACTCTTCCCTCCATAGCTAATTAACTATAGTAAGTCCCACTGAGTCTTCTGACACAGCATCTGTCATATCCACCCCTTCCTTTATATTTGCCACAGCCATCACCCACTTCAGGGTTCACAACACTTCATACCTCTCAAATAACCTCCTGGCCTCCACTCTTGCTCTCTCTAAACCACGGATTATTCTTTCTAAAACATGTTATCAATTCCTCTTAACATTTCAACAATTAATGTCTAAGGGTCAAGGCCAAACTTCATACCTTGTCATTCAAATTTGTCCACAATTTATCTTTCTGTGCACCCCCAAATTTCCACAGTATTCAGTGCCACTTCCATCATGCATTTCTCACGTTATGTTAAAATAATCTGTCGGTGAGTTTGTGTCCCCAGCACTAGTGGCTCAGACAGTTTAAGTAACTTACAAAAGACCGCACAGCTCTAAGGAGTATGGAACCTATGGCATGAAGTAGCAATTAAGGGCCTGGGCTTTGATAGCCAGCTCTGCCGTCCAATGGAAGGGCAATTTCTCTATCTTTCCAGAGACTCAAATTTCTTCCTCAATTTTACATATATATATATTTTTTAAGACAGAGTTTCGCTCTTGTAGCCTAGGCTGGAGTGCAATGGTGCGATCTTGGCTCACTGCAACCTTTACCTCCCAGGTTCAAGCAATTGTCCTGCCTCAGCCTCCCAAGTAGCTGGGATTACAGACACCGGCCACCATGCCTGGCTATATTTCCTCAATTTTAAGATGTGGACAACAATAGTGTCATCACATGGCATAATTTTCAGGATTAAACTTTAATACATACTCCTACATGTGTAAATTACAATACAATAAAGGCCTCTAGATTAAGAAAAGCCTGAGCTTTTGCCTCTGCTTTATCATTTTTGTGTGATCTTGGGAAATGACTTGATCTCTGGGATTATTTATAAGATGATCCAGTTACATTAAATATTCTCTGTCATTCCATCATCCCTTCCTACTCTAAGATTTTTTTTTTTTTTTTTTTTTTAAA